CGCCGAGCCAAAACGGGTCCGGGCCCCACTTACGGCTCGCGGACCCGCCGCTTGAGAATTATATATACGTGCGACGGTATATGCAGTCGTGCTTCCATTCAGATGAGTGCCACGTCTGCCAGTTTCTTCTCATTTCGTCATTGAAGAGGTCACATTGGGGGGTGGGGGGGGGGGCTGCGGCGGCCCAGTCAGCGGCCAATTAGCCTTCCCGCGGGGGCCACGCGTGTCAGTCTCCTGGCCAGCTGACCAAAAGGCTGTCAGCCTGCTGGCAAAGCCTCCATTGGGAAAAACAACACAGGAAGAAATCATCCAAGCGTCTCGTGGAGCTCAAATTCCATCGGGCGCCAAGCTTCACCTTCACCGTTGAAATGGGCACACTGTATGCATCTCTTCCCAGCGTCGGGTAGAAAATGTGTCACCGCGGGGCAAATGTGATCGACTGGACGAATGGCAAACGGCGACGGAGCCGGCGCGGCCGCTCCCGAGTCAAGGGAAGCGAAAGAAAAAAACAAACCGCTCAAGTCTCTTGACGGTCCGAAAATGGCTGTCGCCGGCTTACTTCCCCAACAAGACGGACAATGTTGTGGAAGCCCGATGATGCCAAGATGAGTCAAGTCGCGGCCGCGATCGCACTCTCGTCATCGGGCCGTCGGCCCACGCGACACCAAAGTTGGCGACGCCCAACGTGCGTCAAGCTAACGGTCCAGAGAGCGGGCTGTGCTGAGCGGGAAGAATCCGACGTGCCCTTCGGGACCCGATTTTGGACCCCAAATCCATTGAGAACGCCACCCGACGTCCAAAAGGCTTGAGAGCGCGCTTGAGTCGCAGCTGCCGATTCCACCCGCGGAGAAACGTGACACTCGCTCGGCGCGGAGGGCGCCGACGTCATCGAGCAACGGCTTATCGCCGCTCGAGCCCGCGCGCCCCCCTCGATCCTTTTAGCCGCCGCCGACGGCAACGTTTGCACTCGGTCTTTGGCGTCAATGGGAAGCCCGCCGGCAGGCTTCGTGTGACCTCTTTGTTTCCGAAAGGACCTCGGGTCTTCGATGTGGCGGTGGCGCGAGCCCGCACGCCTTTTTGTCCCGGTTTTCACATGAAGTCGCCGGTGCCCGTCGTAGCGAACGGTGCCCGAGCTGGTGAAAAGTCCCGCCGAAACATATTGGCTCACGTGCCTGACGGCGTTTCCGGTGGGAACGCCGTCGGGCACGTGAGCAATCTCCGGACCGGCTTTTCTCTTTTCGGTGGCTCGAGTGCGCGCTTGGGTTCCGGAGATGGTCCTGATTCCGTTTGTGACCAACAGGTGGCGCTGTCGGGCTCGCCCTGCAGCTGCACACCTGTTGGTCGTTATCCAATCAGCGCTTTCCAAGGACTCCCGGCGCGACCGCTCGGGTCGGCTCATTGTTTGGTTGTGTTCTGGTCATGTTTCGGTTATTGATCGGTTTTGTTTTAGTTTGATACTTTGGCTTCGTTTTGTTTTTAGGACTTTGTTTTGGATTGAGTTTTCTCTGTGTATGAATACGAGTCATCAAGTTCACCCCGCTCGTCCCTCCCGCCTGCTTTTTGGGGTCCACCACCACCGCCGCCTCGCATCGTGAGTTGTGACACGGACGTTTTTGCTGACTTGCCGCGGTCCCGCAGGGCGAGCTGCTGAGCCCGTGCCGGTGCGACGGCTCGGTGCGCTGCACCCACCAGCCCTGCCTCATCCGCTGGATTAGCGAAAGGGGCCTCTGGGGCGGCCGCGTGTCG